TGAATATTACTATCTCCGTCCTATAAAAATAATCTAATTTAAAAAGCTAAAATATAAAAATTAGATGAATTAATATTACAAATTAAAAAAATTGATATAAAAATTTGAATATAGTTTAATGACTATAAATCCATTTAATAATCAATTTTAAGTTACGCTGATCTCATAAATCCAATTTTAAAATTTATATTTCTAAAATCGGACTTTTTTTTAATGACAGAGATAGTATATATATGTATAACACAGTTCCATATCTTTACCATAATCAAATATTTATGAAAGTTCTACATATCTTAAGTTGTACAGCCATAGAGTAATTAATAACTTGTTATTTGTTTCACTTATTCTAGTGATGAACGTCAATGCCATTGATTGATGATTTCTTAATAATTAAACAAGAACAGATACATTTATTTAAAATTTTACTATTTTAAGAGCATCCACAACGGTGGTAAATAACAACTAAATAACTACTTTATTATACTGTTTGTCATTGTGTTGAGTATAATAATATTATACGGTGTAAGAATTCTTACACTGTGTAGTACACTTTTTGGTGTCAAAATACATTTAATGTAAATTTATGATAATACTAAAAATATTTCATATTATTATACTTTTACGGTGCAAACCAATGTAGTGAAAAGTGGAATAAAAATATTTTATTGAAAATTTATGATACTACTCTCACAATAGTGTAAACCATTATAGATCTCTAAGTGTAGTATGTACTCAAAGTATCTCATTCTCATCATTGCTCAAGGAAAGCTAAATTATTTTTTGGGATACCATGTGGAAGTTACATGTTTTGGAGTTGATGTCCACAATAATTGAATGAGTCAATGTATAACGTCCCACTAAAAATTTACATCATCGATCTCTACTAAGATATAGATAACAGAAATGATATGACTGCACCTACCCATCCCTGTATACATCTTAGACATGTAACAATATTCTTTTGTTTCATGGAAGAATTTGAAGGATACTTTGGACCTGAACAATCTCTATCAGTCTATCTTAATATGGTTAAAGTATGTAACATCGTAAACAATCTCTATCAGTCTATCTTAATATGGTTAAAGTATGTAACATCCTGAACAATCTCTTTTATTTCGCTTTTCTTTTTTCTATGCGTTTTATATATATATATATATATATATATATATATATATATATATATATTGGGGACAGAAGCTAGAAAATAAAGTCACAGAGTGTGATATTGTTGTTACAACTGGTACCTTAGTCGAAATTGTTGTTGCTTTTGATGATATTGATCTTGCTTTGAGGATGGATTAGACAAATTTGAAGAATATTTTGATGCCTAATAACGTTTTATTTATATATATATACATTGTCGACAGACACTGCAAATGATACACATGCGAATCAATCCATACAGTAGTGCGGATGAAAAAAAAAAGGGTTGCTTGTAGACATATATACAAATAAGCCAATAGAAGCATGTGGTTGAAAATGACCATAGAATGTCAAAGGCAACTCTACAGTTTGTTCAATTTGATGTAATTTTTTTGATACTTTAATATAATATAATAAAGTTATTGTTCCAAAAAAAAAAAAAAAAACAACAAATAAGCCCTCATCTAAACACCTCGATTGCACTTTGCAAGCAAGGCAGCCCAAAAATTCCAAATCTTGCTAGCTTTCCCTGAATGTTAGAAGCACAGTCCAACACCAGGTGTAAATTAAGAATCGGATTCTCTGAATTTTGTGTACAATTTGGAATCAAGATTCCTCTGGTTTCTGGGTACAGTTGCAGTGCTCCATTCAACCGGCTTTGTTCTACTTTCTCTTGACGGAGATTTTGCTTCTCCATTTATTAATCTGTGATGCAATATTTGTATGGCATATAACTTCATCGCTCTATCGTTGAAGATTCTTTTGATGGGCCAGAAAATTAGTATTTTATTTAGAAAAATAAAAGCAGAGAATAAATTAATGGAGTGAAGGACTACATTTTTTATTTCCTTTTATAAACTGAACACATCAAATGCCTTTTTATAGGCTTAATTTACAAATATGATAATTATGTAGATTAGCTAATTTTATTTAAGTGATAAAGATAAGTAATCCACTTGAAATAACCAACTAGATAAAACTAATCTAAGACTTCTAATTCCTTTGTACTTTATCTCTTAACATTCCCCCGCAAACTGTGCCGAGACTAAAGGATTGAGGGCTGAAGATGCAGTTTGTTGTAGAATAGAGTCCACTGGATGGATTGCTTGAAACTTGATTCTGAGCTTGTTGTGAAGGTCTCATATTATAGATCTGGATCTAGATTTGTGAAGCTGCAATAAAAAAATAAAAAATAAAAAATTTTGTATTGTGTTAAATTACCAATGTCACACAATCTTGGTTTGAAAGTGTGAATGTGATCTCCAATGACCATGTTGCTATTTTTTGTGGAGATATGTGAATTTTTCTAATAATTCTCTAAAAAATATGTGTACTTCATTTTTGAGTACTTTTCGGCGAACTATATGTGTAAAAAAAAATGACAATTCCAAAGAATTTTCTCGGACTTTTGTCATGATTGAAATTTTTTGAATGGATTCAGATGAGACTCTTCTTCTTCTTTTTTTTTTTTTTTTTGGTGGTGATGAATGAAATTGGAGGATGAAACAATGGTTGAGTTGTGAGGTAACTGATAGGTCCTTGGCTCTCTGCGAGAATCTCTCCGCAATGAATACTTGACTTGAGAGAATTTTAGAATGATAAAATTTTGAGTATCGATGAACAGAAATGCAGAAGTCATGATTAGACATATATGCGGAAGCTAAAAAAAACCTTCAGACGCATGATAGAACCTACTCTGATACCAAGAAGAAAATTAGTATTTTATTTAGAAAAATAAAAGCAGCAGAGAATAAATTAATGGAGTGAAGGACTACATTTTTTATTTCCTTTTATAAACTGAATACATCAAATGCCTTTTTATAGGCTTAGTTTACAAATATGATAATTATGTAGATTAACTAATTTTATTTAAGTGATAAAGATAAGTAATTCACTTGAAATAACCAACTAGATGAAACTAATCTAAGACTTCTAATTCCTTTATACTTTATCTCTTAATAAGGTCCATACGTTGAGTTACTGATCATCACGCTACTCCGGACCTTGTTCTCCATGTGGGATCATCATTTATCAGACTGGAGTTTAATCCAAACCTTAAAAGGTTGCTGAAAAAATTATTGGCACGTTTCATTCTGAATTAGGTTGCAAACTCATCTATATAAGGTGGGCCGGTAGCATGTATATGCAAAGTACTCGATTTCTGTAGCTCGAAATTCCCCCTCTAGTGAAGTAATAATTAGACTGTTCTTCAAGAAGTTAGTGTCCATACGGAACTCGAGAACCGTTCGGATATGCAAACCGGTAAAACTACCATTCAAATGATTAAAACAAGAGGAAGTTGCTCTGAATGTTTGCGAAAAGTACGAACGGTTTTTTTAATCGTTAACGAACGTTGTTCTTTCTTCTTCTTCTTGGTACTTCAACATGATGATATCTCCATTGCTTAATATAGGCATAAAACTCGAACTACATTCCCAACCAAAGCATTTCTCCGAATCACTTATATGATCTATGAAATTTTTGAGTCATCGGAAGTAGGAGTTTAGACTCCAACCCTGATCTCCTTCAACGAAGAGTCCTTGCCATTGTTCTTGTAAAATCAACAGCCTCTATAAAAATATCTAGGAGGAAAAACTTGAGATCAATATTTGTTCCGTGTACTACTATTTAAAATCCAAAAAATTAAAGTGTTGTGAAATTTCGAAAATTAAAGGCCAAGAACTTACTTGATATAAAGAGTCTTTTGAGTCTTTTTGCTACAAATTAGTACGTAATAAAACTCTTTTCCTATCAAACATCCCTCTCTTCCATTTTCAATTAGTAAACTTATCACCCAAAGGTTGTCTTTCTCAAAATCCAAAGAGCTCCTTTGGTTAACAAATGCATGGTCCTTGCTTAGTATGTATACCAAGATACATCTAATTAGTCTACCTAACACAGTTGAATTGGCAGCGGTTGAACCTTCCGCAAAAGTTTTTGGCTATATTAGGCTTTAATAATTTAGCTTTCAAATGAAAGGTAATTCATATTCATATGAAAAATGACCAAAATATGCTCCCAAGGTGGTGCCGTAGGCAAAACTATGGCTAGGTTTTCGAAGGAAGAAAGAAATATGTTTCTCGCAATTGACAAATGCGAAAAAACAAACTTTCGCATTCGACGAATGCGAAAATTTATTGAATTAATTACAATGCATTAAAGACGTTGGATTAAAATTGGATAATTATAATTATTATAAGTGTTCGCATATGTCATATGCGAAAGTTAACTTTTCGCATATGCCATATGCGAATGTTTTAATTTTTTATTTAAAAAATATTTCCTAACTTTAAATTGGTATAAAATGAAATGTTGTAAAATTAAATATTTTGGTTGATAAAATGTTGTAATATTTCAAAAAAATGCTATTTTAATTGAAAATTAAATTTTCTAAATTTAAAGTTTTCATTTGATTTAAGTAAATTTATATTAGTTGTAAATAGAATTGCAATGCTATGAATTATATTTGGTGAACAGAAATCGTATAATGCATTTATAATAAAATTTGAATAATAAGTAAATTAAAATTTCGGTGAAAAAATTAGAATATAATCTTGCCTTTTGTAACCAAGTTTGCTTTTAAAAAAATTGACTTTTATTTGGTTTCAACTTAAAAACTTACCATCATTAAAATTAAAATATCAAAAAATCAAGTTTAGTAAATTTTGGATTATAAATTTTTTTACATAATAAAACTTAGAATCAATTCATTTAAAGTAAGGAAAAAACTGAAATTTTTAGAATCTGACATAATATAAAGGAAAATGGCAAAATAATAATGTGGTCAATGGCCTCAAATCACATTCGCACAGTACTGCAATGAACACTGAACAAGAAAATGCTTCAATAAAACGCTCTTAAGAGGTTGCTTCCAAGAAGGCTCTTCCAGGTTGACGGTTAGCCAATGGTGCATGGCAGCCAAGAAACTTGTCATTGACACCATCAGGAACAATCATGTTTTCTTGCTTCCATCTAACATAATCAGTCCTGCTAAACTTGGTAAAACCACACTTCCTTCTAACAATGATCTTTTGGCGACCTGGAAACTTGAATTTGGCACGACGCAAAAGATAGTATTGTATAAAAGTAAGAGTTAAAAAAATTGTACATAATATTGTTTTTTTGATAAATTTTCTTCTTTAATGTTTCCTTTTTATTTTTGTTAAACTTAAAACTATTGTATCATTTTAAAAATTCAAAAGCTCGAGTTTACTAAAGATTAAATAAAACTGAAATAAATTGTTAATGAAAAGAAATGAAAAGAATTTTTTAAAACTAATAACAAAAGTCATAAAATAGCATAACATAAAAGTACAATTCAATCTAATTTTTCTACTTCTTGTGCGTTTTTTCCCGAGAATCTGTCATGCAGCACTTTTTCTTCTTCTTTATGTTCCGCTGTCCCTTACCCAAAGCAAGCGGTGTAAAAGGCATGGTACCATCACTGGGGCCCTGTCTCAGGCACTGGCTTGAGCCCTCACCTTGACCAGCCCCCTCATCATGAACATGAGAGGAATGCTCAGCATCATTAGAATCATTGGTAATCTCATCATCATGCTCCTGATCCCGATTATCCTCCTGATCCTGATCATCCTCCTGATCATTATGGATATGGTCACCGCCTAGATGCTGACTGTGATGACCACCCTCGTAACTAGTCTCAAAGAAACCCCCCGCATTAGGATCTAGATTAATAAAATCTGAATCAAAATGCATTTGCTCAAAAGGAGGAGAGGGATGGTGGTGTGGCGATGCTGGACGGTAAGGAAACACATGCGGGGTAGAAGATGGCCCGCCAGTATCCTGGGTGGCCACATGTTTTCTCATCCTCCCACTCCCTAACTGGAACCCGCCTCGGTTAGTCCTGGGAAGCCTAGGTGGGATATACTCCTGGGTTGGGTCAGCCGGAACAAAATCTTGGCTTGGATTCTCACTATCAGCCCAAACAGATGTCTTGCTGACAGTCATTGCTTGCTGTGTCAAATCGTGCAGCTGTAGGAAGGCATTGTGATTCCAAGAATTAGCTGGATTACGTTGTAGCCCATCTAGAGTAATCTGCCGCATGTTTTGCACCAAATTGGCCTGGAAATTTTGAGAGGAAATAAATATATGATAAATTAAAAATATATAATAAATATATTTTATAAATTAACATATATATTTTATAAATTAACATATATATGGTAAATTAAAAATATATAATAACATTTTAGAAAGTTATATGTATAAAAATCATATTAATATGGGTGTGATTAAAGAAATAATAAAAATGTAACTTACCATTATATGTAGTGACTCAGTAGATCCTTGAAAACCCTGGGGCTGACGATAGTCTGATGGATTGGTGACCAAAGTGACAGTGCGATTTTGATACCACACTAGGTATTCCGGTGCTGCCTGGGGTTCAAGAGTCATATCGGCCTGAAGACCTGCAAGGGTGTTGTGTCGAGTCTCCCATCTCTGTAAGACGTCATCTCGACATTTCTTAGCACGCGTCTCCTTATGAAACTTTTCTATTTCTTTTTTCTCCATGATGAAAGTGTTGTCAGGCACCCGCTGCAAGAAGCCGAACTGGCGCAACACCCTGCCTGGGATGTGTGACTCTCGGATACCAAAATAAAGCAGCCAAGTCTGGGACATCCATATGGCGGAGCCGGCAGAGCAAGATGGATCAATGTCTGCTAGGGTAGCGGGAGAATACGACATCCAAACGAATTGGAGAGGGACAGATATATAAAAATAATTTATGTGAATAAATACGAAAATTGAAAAAATTGATTTATACATTATGATGGTTCGAATAAAAAATACTTACATTATGTTCTTGCAAAATCGCAAGCTGGTCTCGGTAAGCGGTTAGATTAAATCGTGTGATGTCTCTCACTTTTCTTGGACGGTTCCACCTACAAAAAATTACAGTTTTGATTGAAAACACAGAAAAAAATTATCAAAAAATATAACCAATTAAGATAATTATTGAATAGTTGAAAAAAAAATTACCTCATGCCCAAGGGACACCCCTGAAGATCTCGTACGGGCCCACGTAACTTCGGACGGAAAGTCAAAATCCGCTCCCAAGCCCATAACTAATTTGCAATAAAATAATGCATGAAATTAAAAATACGAATACAATAAATAAAAAATTAACAATAAATTACAAATACCGTAAATAGGAATCTAACAAAAAATTACAAATACAATAAATAAAAATAAAACAAAAAAATACAAATACCATAAATAGGAATCTAACAAAAAAATACAAATAAGGAAAAATAAAAAAAAAAAAAAATACAAATACAATAAATAAAAATAAAACAAAAAAATACAAATACCATAAATAGGAATCTAAGAAAAAATTACAAATAAGGAAAAATAAAAATAAAACAAAAAAATACAAATACAATAAATAAAAATCTAACAATAAAATACATGCCATGATCAATTTTGCTTTGTATGAATCTCGGAGGTGGGTGGCGTCGACGGTTATGACCGGCCAAGCAGCTCTAAATAAATGTATAGTTGGCCCAAATGCCCAAAAAATGTACCTGCATACCTTCTTCTTCCGATTCTTGGTATCTTTAGTGAACTTAAACTGCATAAGGGTATCTGGGTTCGCTCTGAGCAATGCTGCTAGAAAACTGGGCAGTTGTTGAACATTGCTTTCCCATGTGCCATACAGACTCTCAAGTGCTTTCCTTCGGCCATGCCATGCCTTTTTATAATTGGGGGTGACCCTGTATCTCTTATTTACTTCGACTTGGATCTGCGCGACTGAATAACCTGGATCTTTTCGGACATTAGCTGTGATCAATCGAGCAATCATTGTGGACGTCAAGTTTCGAGCTTCGTTTCTTGTGGTTGCACCAAGACAGTTGTGGATCTCGATCTATACCACCATTCTCCAAGTATTTGTGTCTTTTTGCAGGGTAGCTCGACATTTCCACAAGCAAGTAGTGCCGTGGAGAAGTTCTTCTGGGTACTTCGGCCCTTTAGTCTCGCATTCAGCGGCCCACGTATAGGGACGGCTATATTTTACCCGACATGCCCGACCCTGTCGCAATGACCATTCCCCCACAGCTGTTCGTACCTCTTTCTTGTTAGTAAAATGTACACCATGTCTAACCGTCTGCCAATTATCGTCCCACATTGTGATCCCATCAGAATCCTCATGCAGTTCAGACTTGTCCATGTCATTGATGTCGTTGAAAATAGAAGGTACTACTGAAGATGCATCATGATCACTGTAATCATCATCAGACTCATCGGACGGCACATACTCCTCGTCACTGCTTCCCTATACGTCATCTTCTGTGTCATCGCCATCTTCATCTGTACCACCAACACCACTAGTCCTTGCACCATCATACTGACCACCACTAGTTCCTTCCCCAACATCTTCAACAGGTTCATCTGCAACCTCTACGTACAATGTTGGACGCAAATGGGCACCTCGGTAAATCCATGACATTGACTCGTCGTCTCTTATGGGCGCTTGCCCCCTTCTGCCGTACCCATCTGTGCAGACTAAAACATATTGCAGAGGAAGTATTTTTGGGTTCTTAGATTCCAACAGCCTGTGTACATAATTATCAAGTTCAGAGAAACTCCATACTCGATCGATACGAACTGTTGCATCGGGCAAAAATAACTTATCCCCATCTCTCCAAGAAGATCGATCACTAGACCAGAATATATTTAGATCGAAGGGACCCAGAAAAGGCATATTAAGGGCCTGCACATTTAATTTTTATTCAATTAAACATAAAAATACATCAATTCATGTTTGTTATAACAATATTCTACCTCACTAGCAGTAATTTACTCCAAATAACGGTACAATAAGTCCTATCTTTAGTGAAAAATCTCTAACATAATTTAATAATTCAAAAAATATAATTCGACATCTATATAACAAAGTTTTCAATTAAAATAAAAACAAATTTTGATCAAACAAATAAATTTAGATTTACACAATGTATTTGATCAATTAAAACAAAATTTATTCAACAATACATGAATTTAGCATTCAAAATTAATGATAAAATATAAAATTAACAGAATAAAACAAAATATAAAATAGGGTCAAATAAGTAACATTACAAATAATTGGGTCAGATTATAAAATTCACAAAATTGAGGGATAAAGACCAAAATTTGAGATCAACCGGGTTATTCTCTAAATTAATAAAATAACTCATAATATTCAACAAAATTCAACAATTCACATCACAAAAATAATTTTTATTCTTCATTCTACATCAAATATATATTTATTTAAGAAAATTTTCTAAAACCAATTTTTAATAACTACTTAAATTATTAAATTTAGTAATTTCGTACACCAAAACACCATTAATAGCCCCAAATAACAATAGAATGTATAAATTTTACAAATTTAATAGAGAAAAAAAACTTACATAATGGGTTGCCTCTGTCTTGCTCCCGTTCAGTCCAACCATCCAATCTTCAATCTGAAGAGTGCCTCTTTCCTGCTCCGCCTCTTCCACCCGAATGAAAATTTCAACTGAATGCAAGAAGAAAAAAATTGATGGTTTTTAGTTCTGCCGTATCTGGAGTGGTGATGAGTTTTAAATTATGACTCTAGACATCACATTCGCATTCGCTAAATGTGAACATCTATCTAAATTGTCAGCAATTGCCACGTGTCGATAAGATATCGACCAATCAGATTTTAATAGGATAAAAAAATAATTTCGTATTTTTTATACGCTAAAATTTGTTGTTCGCATTCGTAGAATGCAAAAATCTTATGGTGGCTCACACCTTTTCTCTTTCTTCCGTGTCTGCTTTAATAATTCATATTTTAATTCATTCGCATTTGTCGAATGCGAAATTTGTGTGATGGCCTACACTTTTCTCTTTCCTTCCGTGTCTGCTTTAATAATTCATATATTAATTCATTCGCATTTGTCGAATGCAAAATTTGTGTGATGGCCCACACTTTTTCTCTTTTCTTCCGTGTCTGCTTTAATAATTGTTATATTAATTTATTCGCATTTATCAAATGCAAAAACTTGACCGAATAAAATATTTTTTTTTAATCTCTTTTGTTAATATTGTTTTCTTAAGTTGAACTAATTACTTACGTAAACTTCTTCGCATATAGGAAATGCGAAAGCCAATTTGTTTGGATACCTCAAATGCGAGAAACACATAAATTTCTACCTCTCTAACCCTAAGAACAACTTTTTCTACCAAATAAAGTTTGGGGTATATTAATCTCACGGACCCCATATTCATACCCAACAAATAATCGATCGAGTGGCCTAGATTGTATATTCTTCTATTCTGTTTTCTGGTTCATTTTGTGATTAGTTTAGGAGTCGACTCCGGTTAGTTTTGGAGGCGACTTGTTGGAGGCAAACATCCTTATACTTTTCCACCTCTGCAAGCAGGCAAACATATCCTACGGAAGCGCACGGATGAGAAAAAATTAGACCGTTTGACATCATTCATATGGCCAACTCCGACCCCATCTGAGTGTGGCATCGGGAACTGCGTGGGGCTTATATAGCTAGGAACTCAAGGGAGCTTTGTGACAATATCAAGATCCATCCCACAGCTGAATTTGCTTTGGGGTCCAAGCGAGTGGTTAATAGCATACAGCTTTTGTGCAGAAGAAGGATCTCTGGCTTGTGTTCCGGAACACTGACTCATATTCAGATCTTTTGAATAAATCATGGAAAGTATGAATGATTATAATTCCTTGCTGGTGTCTTCATTGAGGAGCTAGACCGATTTCTGTTTTGAAGAAATAAAATGAAAGTTCATCGATGAGCAAGAAATGAATACAATTGTAGACTTGTAGTGAGTTCCAGCAATTGGGCCAGAGTGCTCGGAAATTCTCAGACAGACACGAAGATAAAAGGGTGAGAAATGCTAGCAAAACAATGAGCCGAACAGAGATATCCGAGCGGCAATTGGAAATTCCGATGTTGAAAGTGAAAGAGGAGCGGCGGCGGTGGATACAAAAGAGTTTTGAAATGCGAAATTTAGAGTGAAAGTAGGATAGCAAATATACTGCTATTTATAAAGGGGGAAATACACCCTTTAGAACCTTTTTTATGTGTAAAAATAAAACTATAAAAATGATTTTGCAGAATACTTTGTGGGTTATGAGCAAGTGGTATTCAAAGATGAAATTAATTTTTTGCATTAGACTATCAGAAAAACATTCCAACTAATGAGCTGTACATAAGTTGTGCGTGAATGCATTCAGTTGAACTCAAAAAAGCAAAATTGGCTGTATATACGTTTGTCTTATTATTTGACGAGTGTATTCAAATGGAAGGTAATTCACGTTCATAGAGCGCCCAAGAATTCCGTCTTTGATATGATTTAAATATAGTACACTCCCTCCGTCCCAAAATATATAGTCCACATTGAGTTTTTTGATTTTTACTAAATAGTATAAATCAGAAAACTCAATGTGGATTATTTTTTTGGGGGACGGTAGTATATTCTAAAAACCTTTTTCTACCGTAAATAAGACAACCAGTATTTGAACCAAAAAAATTCTACATTCCTCATTAATTAATCTGGCTAAGAAGAACGGCAGCACAGCTAAATTGACTAGCATTTTTCCTCTTCCACTTGTGTAAAAGTGAAGCGTTGAAGCCTCTTCTCCCATTGAACTGTTACATATGGAAGTATGATATTGATGAAGTGATCACAAAAATTTTAGTTCTGTTTGAACTGCTTAACTTCGTGCAATTCTGCAATAAATAACTTCAGGTCTTTTCATTTACTTTTGAAACAAAACTAGATCGTGTCTACTATGATATGAAAGAGTGACAACTTTTTGAATTTATTCATTAATTCTGCTTTTGAAATCAACCTTGAAGTCTCGAACTATAATCTCTTCATAAATATGACTTTTGACTATGATAAATCGTCACATATTTACAAGTCGTAATTCTTTGATTTTGACTATCAGCCTCTGTTTGGTTGGATTGAATTGGACCCAAGAATTGGAATTGGAGGCCTCCAATTCCAATTCTTGTGTTTGGCTGATAAAAATAGACTTCTAGAATTAGAATTATAATTCATAATGGGGTTCAATTCTTTATTTTCAATTCTTTTGTGGGAGCAAATAATTGCAATTCGAATTCGAGGGTCTTTTAAAAAAATCGCGGGTCATGAATCCGGGTCAACTTATTTTTTCCGGGTTCGGATAAAATTGACGTCTCTTTCGCACATTTACCGTTTCTTTAGTTTTCTTTCTTCCTTTTTTCCTCCCATGGCAAAGCCCGTCTGAAATTGCCGGCTCGCAGGCTCTTTAGTTTTCTATCGATTTTGAGCAGGTAAGGTAACGGAATTTCCGTCTGTTTCATGGTGGCTCTACTTTAAGTTTGGGTTGTCCGAATATTTGATTTTTGTACCTTATTTGATGATTCGGTGTTCTTTCAGATCTATTTTGTTTTTGGTCTTTCAATAATTGCAATCGTTTTTCTTCGGTGAATAATCTCGTTTTAAGGCTTGTTTTCTACTGAATTTTAATCAGATGTGGTGGGTTTGGCTTAAAGTCCATGTTTCTGGGTTTTATTGAATCTCGTACCTGTTGAGGGTTTATATGGAATCTCGTCTGGAATTGGATAAGTTAGGTACTTGTAGTGCCTTTCCAGTGGCGATGGGGTTATACGCTTTAGTACTTGTAGTGTGTGCTCCCTTATGGGAAGAAATAGTGTTTCGGGGTTTTCTTCTACCTTCCCTAAGTAAGTATATATGCCTGTTTGGTGTGCTGTTTTAATGAGTTCGGTGGCTTTTGCTTTAGCACATTTTAATGTACAGAGAATGATTCCTCTAATTTTTCTTGGGGTAGTGATGGGTGTAATTTATGCACGTTCTACGAATCTGCTACCATCAATTCTCCTACATAGTTTGTGGAATGGTTTTGTATTCTTAGATTTGATGAAATAAAAGATCATTATATTCTAAATTTTAGCTTAAACTATATCTTTCTTTTTATTTGATTAAACACAAGAGACTAGGAGATGGGTGCCAACTGTATTTGAATGTGAGGGAGATGAATATTTAACATCTTATATACTTTTCCTCAAAAAAAACATCTTATATACTTAGGCTATTAATAGGAGATGATCAAATATAACGCCTTTGCTGGTTGTTTTTGTCTTTCTGGCAGATTTTTTGGTTTTAAACGCAGCTTGAATTGCTTTCTTGCCATTTTCGCTTATTGAGCTGAACTAACCAGTACTAAAATTTGAATATGAACTTCTTCCTTTCATATGCTTAATTAGTTTTTCAGTTTAACGGTCGTTATTGCTGCTTAATCATTTATAAAGTTTCAAGAGTAATCTATTTATGTACTTTCCTATGCTGTAGTTGGAGGTGATTAAGAGCAAAATTAAGGCATGCAAATCTAAAGAAGAAGCTGAATCACTTAAGTTTTCAGAGAAGAATCTCATTAATAAGGTAAGAATGATTGAGGCTTCTGTTTTTCTTTAGCTATTTTTCTCTTGTCCATACACATATGTAGACGCCAACTCTTCTAACTTTGGGTTCAGCTATGTTATACATTTTTTATTTTTTGTTCCCTTTTTTTTTTAACGTCTGAATGTGTTCTACTGGGCATTTAATGACTGCATAGATATATACTGAATCTGGGAAGCCAAGATTCCCGCCGTTCTGAGTATTTGAGAACTGTCATTGAGGTATGTTGACATTTATTCTTGCAGCATTCTTGTTCAGTTAAGGGCATTGATTGTAATTTTGAAATTTTTCTTGAAAGGCAAATTATTGAGTTCTATTTCAGTTTTGGATGTTTAATCGGTTTAAAAATAATGAATAGGAAATTATTGAAGGGTCAATCGGACTGCATGACTAGTTTGCCTTTGACTTGGTATGTTATGTAGTCTATCTTTGATTCATGAACTTCTTGTGACATGTAATTATATGCATGCTTAGCAGCTAAAGGTTGTTATAAGGAGCATGTAAATGATTGTTGATGGTCTAAAGATATAAACGCAGGCTTGAACTAAAATAAAGAGAATGAATGAGTTTAAAGAGTTCGGTTATACGGAGTTAAAAAATCCAGATTTAAGTTGTTTGAATGAACCGCTCAAATGTCATCTTGTAAGTTTCTTTCTCTCCATGATTTCATACCTGATTCTTCCTGGGTTAGTAAGGTTTGTTTTAGTTTGCATGTTTCTCCAAATTACCTTGCAAATCTTTTAAAATGTGGGTTCAACAACGTAGATTGCTGATTATATTTTAATAGTGCAGAAAAATCAGAACTGCAACCCACTGTTGTCAGCCCTTTTCTCCCAGCTCCTTAGCTCTTTTAGGATCTCTTTATATGAAAATCATCTTCATTTAACATGGTTTAATTCAGTTTTTATGGAATGCAAATCGGAGTTGTGGTTTGCCCGGAAACTCGATTTGAAGATGACATTATCCCTGCTGAAAAATACAGAAAAACCTGAACAGAACCCTGCTGTTGACATGCCTATTTCTCTTTGCTCTTTGATTCTTTTTCAGAATTTCTTTTTGGAAAACTCTTCAAATTTGAGTGTAGTTTAATGTAGTCTTCTTGGATTGTCAAATGGATTTATGGCTTGTCCAGAAATTGAGTTTGAATCTGGCTTATCAGTCGCTGGAAATCATTAAACTTTTTGTCATAAAATCTGGTTTAAGCTTCTGATTTGGGAGGCTTGTTTTGCTTGACTTTTGGACCTTTTTCTCTGAAGTCTTTTGATAAAATCCCTCTCTGTTTATTGTACTTTAATGTTGTTTTAATGGTTTGCTAAAACAAATAGTGAGGTGCGCAAAAAATAGTATCAAAAACATCATTTTTGTAGTAGCCCTCAAGTCAATAAATGTACCTTCATTAGCAGGAAGAACAGCTCCATAAGCAAGTGTTGAAAGGCAAATGATCAGTAGTAATAAAACTCTAATTGTGATTCCATGGTTGCTTGGATATTTTTTACTTGATGGTAATGTATGCTCATTTGAAAAGCTATATTGCTTGCTGAGGTTTAATCAGTAAATTGTTTACGTTAATAGGAAATATTAAATGTGGGTTCGTCTTACGTCTAAGTTCAGGTTTTAACTGTGGGTTTGTATTACGTTTGTGATTTTGCTGTCTTTCCTTGTCTCTTCTGTAATGGTAGACTTTTTGCTTTTTGTAGCAATTCAGTTAGAGAATCTTTTGATATATTTTGCATCATTTACATGGCTTTAGAAAAGTCAATAGTTGTACTTATTTATTGGTTAATAATTAGATTACATGGATTATCAACTCTCCCGTAATGATGACGAGGATAACGCAAGAAAGAGGCGAAGAATATTCGTCGTACACCAAGTTGTTACTGCAGTTGCTATAGCCGTTATGTGGCACGAAAAGCATATGGTGAAAGAGCCAAGATTGGACTTCTCTGTAGCACGACAAATATACCTTAGGCGACTCTATTATGGGAGTGATAGAGTTTGTAAGGATCAACTTCGTCTAACTAAGCACTGTTTTACTGTTTTATGCTCTAATCTAAAAGAGCTAGGAGGATTGAGAGATTCAGCTCATGTCCCTGTGGAAGAAGCAGTAGCTATGTTTCTCTATGTCCTTTCTCTCAATTTGACGAATCGAAAAGTGAGTTTCGATTTTATAAGATCAGGGGAGACAGTCAGTCGTCAATTTAACATGGTGTTAAATGCTATTTTAAGAATGGGAATCAAATATGTTAACCAAGAAGAAATAGAAATGGAGGGGCACGAAGCTGAAAAATGGATGTGGTTTGAGGTAAACATAGTTCGTGTTTGCTGGTTAGTTTAGAAGTTAGTATATTAATCTTAAGATTCATTTTTGGTTTTTGGTGGCAGAACTGCCTTGGAGCATTAGATGGCACTCATATCAAACTAACCGTTCCACTAAGAGATCAAGGAAGATACCGAAATAGGAAGGGTGAGATAACGACAAATGTTATGGCTGTGTGTGCCCGTGATTTGAGATTCACCTACGTTTTGCCGGGATGGGAAGGTTCCGCAGCTGATAGTAGAGTATTGCGCGATTCCTTAACTAGAACTGACCCTTTTGTAGTACCCAAGGGTAAGTTGCATTTACAGATTTCTTTTTTCCATTTTTTCTTCATTATCTTACATACCTTTAGATTATTGGGAAATAAATTCTCCACTTAAATCTTTAGGAAAATATTTTCTTGTCGACGCGGGATATACAAATGGACCAGGGTTCTTAGCTCCGTTTAGAGGGGTTCGTTATCATCTTAACGAGTGGTCCGCTAGAGGTAACAACCCAAGAACTCCCAAAGAGCTGTTTAACCTCCGACATGCAACCGCGAGAAATGTAGTTGAACGAGCTTTTGGTTTGTTGAAGAAGCGGTGGAAAATCATGAGAGAAGTCTCCTTTTTTTGATGTTAAAACCCATGTGAAAATCATCAATGCTTGTATCGTGCTGCATAACCTTATTAGGATAGAAGCTCCGAATGATCCGATGCTGGATGAAGTTGATGCGGAGCTTCTTACTATAAATAACCAAGATGATGATGCTCAAGGTGGTGAGGATGGCGAAGACACGCAACCTGTGCATGGTGGTGAGGATGAAGAAGACAGTCCACATGTGCATGGTGCTGCACAGAACTCCAGCCGAATTACTGTAGTTCAATCTACTTATGAATGGAGCCGATTTAGGGATTCGTTAGCTGAAGCTATGTTTCGTGATTATCAAAATAGATGTATCCTGTAATTGTTACTAAATTGTACTTGCAATGCAATACTGTTGCAATGCTGGCTGTTGCACTCTCTCTAATTCATAGTGAATAGTACACTGTTAACTGCAATGTGAATGGTACACTGTTTTGTGATATTACTGAGCATTGTATGGTTATTGAGACACTAATAGATGTTGCGTAAAGATGTGTTCTTTCTGATGTGTGATGAACTCTCATATGATTCATATCTGTGCTCAGTTTCTAGGAATTTTGTTCACTGTTTAGTGTTTTAACAATTTTCAGTTAAAAAAATCGTATTTTCTACACTTTTGTCTCTTAATAAGGTCACCGCTTTTCGTTGGATTCTAGTTTACATTTCAGGATATATGTATAGGCTGATTAAGGTAGGAATAACAAGACACACAAGCAATCTTAGATGCTAGTAATAAGAATGTGCTGTTGTTCTGTATAGTTAAACTGAATTGCAGCATCTGCCAAGTGAATATTTGAATGACATTTGGCTACATTCAGCCTCCCCTGGTTTATTGATATTGTAATGATAATCAGCTCCAAATATGTTCTTTGCATGAGTATCAGATTCTGTATTCTCTTTAAACTTACAGGAACAGATACAGTAGTTCAAACATAGTGCCAGACACTGTGTATAATTATTTTGAATGAGCAAAGACTGAACTTTGCTTGTAATGTATAAGATGCAATGTATTGCTTTCTTCCATTGAATATTTGTAAGGGCAGGTCAGGATGTTCTTTTGAGAGAACACTGCCACTGTCGGATAGCTTAAAATGAGATTGAGTTGTCTTGTTTGTTATTAACTGTTTTAAGGTTCTAGCTCTCCATTTCTTTTCTAGAGTAAAAGTTTGTTTCTGCAAATGTGATAGTAGTGGTTGAGACTAACAATGTGAAACTTTTTCCTTTCTGCTATCTTCCATTTGTACTTGGAAAGGGAGTTGCTGCGTTGCTTTTACTTTGATGTATTCTCTTCCAATAATGGAAATTTTGGAGATCCAATTTGATCCCAATGAGAAGTCTTGGGTTAAGACTGCATCTGCATGCTATTAAATTAAGTGTAGGATTGAATGATCTTAGTTGATGTAGACGGTAGCAGTTGGAAATTAGGAACATATCAAACAAGGCAACTGTATAAGACTAGGATACATAACCATTTTTAATTAAGCAACTGTAAGCAACTGTATAATCCTATGATCTGAACTTTTGTTTCTTTAAGCAAAACTAGTTTCTTCTTTTGTTCCAGCATGATAACGTGTTGCTCTTCCTTACATTTGTAGGTTGTCTCAACACTATTGCCTTGTTGCTAATTTTGTTGTCCACTGAGTAATACAAGCTCTCTGAGATGGCTCCTCATTCACAAGCACCATCCCCTTCCAAAGGGAAAGGAAAGGTTAAAGAATACTTCACATGGACCCCCGAAATGGATAAGGTTCTGGGGGAGTGTTTCATTGAACAAATGAAACAAGGGAAAAAATTGGATGGGAAATGTGCGTGGAAGAATACTTCCTGGACAGCTGCTATTAATGCGCTTGCCGACAAGTTACAGGTAAGAGTAGATAAGAAAAAGATTTTGTCTCGTCTGAAGACTTGGGAAAAGCATTATGAGACTTTGCAGCCTTTACTGGTTTCTTGCAACTCCGGTTCTGCAATCACATGGGATTACTCAAAGGGAAGAGTTGAGGTCCATGATGAGAATGTGTGGAACGAACGTGTAGAGGTAACTCTATTTTCAATATTGAGGTCTCAGTTTGTATGACATCCCTTTTTTCCATGCATAATCTAATAGGCATAAGTTTTGATAGTTTCTCTGCTTTTTGTTACTGGATGTTTCACTTTTGAATGGCATTATGAACGGATATAATTGTTTAGGGTAGTTTCTCTGCTTTATTTTCCTGGCTGCTTTTCAGCTAGCTGACACCCAAAATATGAAATAATGGAATAAAGAGTCTATATATACTTTTGCTTTTTGGCTAGCCGGAAGCTACAAATTTGGATTTTGTTTGGAATGATCGAAAATGTACACAACTTAGAGGCCATGATAAGGAAGAAACTGCAATTCCAATTTCGTGTGGTTGTTTGATGCATGGTTGCTCATTACATTCTGATTTATAAATTTTCTTTTGAAGGCAAACCCTAAACTTGCACCCTATAGAAGGAAGATTATAGTTGAGAATTGGGAAGAAATTTGCACAATCTTCTCACAAGACCGTGCTAATGGGCAAGGTGGCCACACTCTTAGGGAGATGAATGCTGAAGAAACAGTAGGGGAATCTGTTAATTTGGGAGATCCATTTGAGACTTGCGAGGAAGATGAGATCATGAGACTTATGATGGGATATCAAAAGAGAAAAGAAGCTGCATCTTCTTCTACTTTTCAAGGTATGAACAAGAAACCGAGTTCATCAAATATAATGTGTGGTTTCATGAAGCAAATTGCTGAAAACTTTGGTGAGTTTATGGTGACTGAGAGACAAATATTGGTTGCTACAAAAAAAAGCTACACCGGAAGATATACTTGAAGCATTGAAGGTAGTCTCCTTAGACGAGATGCAAACCTTCAAAGCCCTAGATTTGATGATGGACAATCAGAGATTATATGACACGTTTGTTGGGTTGTCAACAGTTGAAATGAAACAACGATGGCTTATGGTGCAGCTCCATAAGGGTAATTAATGGTTGTCAACAGTCAACAATTGTTTCTTTTCTTCTTCATCAACTTGCTTTATGTCTTCCTTCAGACACTGTTTTCATTTTGACACTGCTTAGCTTTTCGATTTCGGCAAAATTCTAGTTTTCATTTTGAAGACACTGTTTTAAAAAATATGCAAGCCCAACATTAGTATTAAAATGCTGGCAGAGTCTGAAATCTAACTCATTGTAGTATGATTGGTCAATAAAAAAAAGTCAATGTCCGTTGTTCAAAATATGCAAGCCCAACATTAGATTCAATTCTAGAACTATCTAAATTCCTAAACATCCAAACGCAAGAATTGGTATTAAAATCTTAATTATACTCAATTCTTAAGATCTCCCAAACAAAGGAATTATATTGAATTATAATCCTAATATCTCATTTGCAATTGTAATTCCAATTCAATCCTAATTCAATCCAACCAAACGGAGCCTAAAACTCTTTGATATAATACAACTCGCTACTCCGCGTCCATCAACAATTAATCCAGGCGATCAGATTCTATTTCGATCATTTCCCTTAGTGTTTCTTCCTCACAACTTCTATGCACACTTGCTTAGCGACTTCTCCATTTGGGCCATCTGCGAGTAACCATGTAATATAGAGCTCACCGGATTTTTTTGTTAAAGTGCGAGCCGAATGGACGTTCCGCATTTAACCTCAGTTATTGTGCGATCATGAGAGCCTTTGCACCTAGTCCGATAGAGTACCGCTAGAGTTGTAACGGCAAAAGTAATCCATCAGTTTTGGTTAGCGTCCCACTTCAATACTTCAATATTTGGCTGTTGTAGCGTTTTGGAATATCGCATGTACCAACCCATTTGAATTGGCCGTCCCAGGTATGGTGAGGCAATTATAGCAAGGAACTCAAGAGAGCCTTTAAGCAGTAAAACAAAATCAGGGTCCATTTTTCCACAGCTCAATTTCTTTTGAATCGAAGGAAGGTTGTTAGCAAACAGCTTTTTTGCAAGAGAACAATCTTTGATTCGTGATCAGGAAATGCAGAAACATCTGAAGATCTCTTGAAGAAATGATGGAAGACATCGAAAGGTAAAATTCCTTTCTGAGCAGAATAACTCAAATCTACGGCGATTCCTGCTTGTGCTTAAGTAGGAAAATTAAATGACTGGTTTATAGATGGATTAGCATAAAGGAAATGAAGACATTCCTGGGGATTTTAAGCGGTTTGCCTGAGTGCTTTGGTACTCAGAACTACATGGAGATAGAGTACGAATGGCTAGCAAACCGGTTCCTCCGAGAATAGATCCGGCGATCCGAAATTTGAAGTTCAGAGTGAAAGATGAGTGGCTGCTGTGTGGATAAGAAGAAGCGAGTGTGCTTAAGATTGTAGGATATATAGCATATTTTTGGAGGAGAAACTTGGTAGAATATAGAGGGGACTAGGGTTTATTGCATGAGAAACCTTCTGACTGTCAAATCAGAAGCACACTTTATGCTACTGATCAACGCACCTAAAACATTAGCGGCAATATTAATTATTGTTTCACACACGTCGACCGATAATCGTTAAATGTATTTTGGAATTAAATGTTATCCGGAAGGATTCATTTTATCCCCTCACAGAGTTCCCACAATTTAGTCAACAAGTTTTTGGGTAGTTGCGTAAGATTTATTTTGCTCCATACAATTGTCAATTGGGGAATATTATTAAGTACTTTTGTTTCGTAAATTATATAATATTAAGCACAATCTTTCCTATCAACATAAGAGATGATGAATCATGGTTTACTCTGCTTACTCTACACTTATCCAGTCTTAGCTGGATTACATCGCGTTTCGGTTTGCTCGGGTGTAAAGTCATAATCAAGCATGTTAAGTTTTACAGAAAAAGTAAAGTCACAATAATAAAGCAAACCGTGATTTGGACTTCACCTATGATCCGTTCTATTGAGTTTCAAAATAATCAAATACTTCAAAATCATTCACTACGTACTTGCTGCACATGCTCATCGTCAGACCAAGAAACTCACGCATTTGTATCAGTTGGACTGAATATATTCAAGGTTTTTAATTAAGCTTGTTGATCAATGGCAAAGGGTTTAATCTTGAGGTTGTAATCAAAGAATTAATGACCGAGCTTGAAAGCGCAAGTTGCTACTTTATCCTTTAGCCCTAATTGATGTGATGAAATCTAGTACAATTGGTGTAAATGGTTTTTGAGAAGTCTAATTTTACAGTTTTTGCTGCAGCAATTTTTGTCATCCAATTAAAATAAGATAAGGGTAAGTGGAGAACTACTGTTGATCTCTTATAAAAAGAAAAATCATGCTCATGTTATGTTCTCGACCATCAACATTTTCGTTGTGTAACTTATTGTTTTCATATTGAATAATTGAATATTGTTGGGTAATGGTCAGCTTGAACGCGTACTGCATGCGCGCTTTTGATGGTTTCTTTTTTCATTCTCGTAAGAAACATGTCTACTCTATGAATGGATCACATTTATTCTTCTGTTTCTTCATTCCAGTCTTTTTGGTTTTTTTTTTTCTCCATTTTTTGTCCTCTTTTGCAATCCCAAGGGGTAACACTCAACATATCTTATGAGCAAGTGGTATTCAAAAGGTGAAATTTTCTATGCTTGACTATCGGAAAAACATTCAAGTAATGCGCTGAACGTAAGTTGCGCGTGAATACATTCAGTTGACTTAAAGCAAAATTGACTATATTTATGTCTCTTACTCATTGTTGAGGATTGTATTCAAATGGAATGTAATTCACGTTCATAGCGTTGCTCAAGAATCTGCCTTTGATATGATTCAAATATGCTAAGCACCTTTTGGACCAGGAATAAGACAAATCAGTATATGAACCAGATAAAAAAATCTACTTTCCTCATTAACTAATCTAGCTAAGAAGAAGGGAAGTACAGCTAAACTAACCAACATTTTTCCTTCTAATTGCGTGACGAGTCCATATCCGTCGGGAATTATTGGACGGGCCCATCCGCCAATCATGGTTCAATCGACCTTAGCAGAGGTGGTTCTAAAACATGAAACCTAGTGGGATTCGGCTTTCATCAAGGTAATCCCATGCCTATAAATAGGATTGGTCACACTACAATACGGGTACCCCATCTCTAGCACAAAACACTACTCGTATACGTTTCTTTAACCCTTTTTGCTAACTTAATCATCAGAGTATCTACCCTCGGGAGAGCCCCGAGGCCCTCTTTTGTAGGAAACCCTAATCAGAGTGCCACTTTTGAACTAGAGGTGCAAATCCAGGCTTCGTTAAGTGGCACGCCCAGTGGAACCCGAAAATTAGGGCTTGTGTCACCAAGCTTTCTCAAGCTTTCAAAACTTTTCTTAGCCTTTGATCACCGCTTCCAGTTAGGGTTCTCTTCAAGAGAGGCAGAAGCAAAAATGGAATGACCGATGGTCGAGGACAGAAAAGACTCCTACGAGACCACCTAGTCCCAGGGATGAAAGGGAGAAAGATCCAAAAAATCATCGCAAGGGCCCTGATCCACATGATGAGGAGCGATTGGCCAAAATCAAAGCGGAACTCAAAAAGTTGAGAGATGATAACAACCTCAATCAGAGGAAGAAAAAGTACATATTGGAGGACTACAAACGTTGTTGTTTGCTGGGTCTGCCCGATCCTTCGGATCAGGAGCTACATGACCTGATTGATGAGAAAGAAGCGTGCAGGACACTGACTTTGCTCAAAAAGAAAAAAAAGGCAAACGCAAAGTCCTGGGTGAAGGAAAGGCAGAAGGTCACAGAGAAGCCTCCAGCCATGAGACTTCCCAGGTAGAGTTCTCCGCCACCCCTGGCGCAACCTTCTGGGACTCATTCAGAAGAGCATATCCAGCATTCTACACAGCACTCGAGCCATTCGCGAAAGAGCATCGGCGGAAGAAGCAATCTCGTGGCCAACACCGCCAAAGGTCACCTAGAGTCGAGTTGTTGTCGGAAAGGGATTGAGATCCCCCACCAAGAGGCAATGTGCACTCCCGCTTAGGACCTAAGGTTTCCCCCAAAAGATCCTATCACGATCACCATGACACGTATCGAGACATAAGATACCCTCGGTATGATCGATATCATTATGATGATTCGTGACCAGAAGAACCCTTCATCCCTCGACGACAAGAGAATTATGGCAACCAAAGTGCCTCCATTCACGAGTTAATGCAGAGAATGATAGGAATGATCGTCAATAAAAGCCCTTTCATTCCAAGGATCCGTGACTGTCCAAAGCCTTGTGACTTCGACTTCCCCAAAGACTTTGTCAAATACTCAGGAGATTCTGACCCACAACAATTTTTGCACGGATATGTCAAAGTCATGAGGATCAGAAATGCATCACTCGATTTCATGGCCAAAGCCCTTCCATCTTACCTCACCGGACAGGCGCAACGCTGGTTCGAACAATTGCCAGAAGGGAGTATTGTCAGCTTCAAGGATTTATCGGTGAAACTGGCTACTCGGTTCTTCCCCAGCAAACAGATCACCAAGATGTCAATCGACCTTTCCTCGATAAAGCAAGGACAAAACCAAATCCTGTCTGATTTCCATCGTTGCTTCATCCGGAAAATCTTCAAGTAGATTATCTCGATGATAGAGACGTCCAGAACGGGTTCATTCAGGGCCTCAACCCATTCAGAAAGTCTACTATCTTAAGGGTGAAATTGTCAACCAAACCACCCTGAAATACACAAGAAATGTGGGCCACAGTCAAAAGTTACATTCAGCGGGAACAAACACTTAATCGCTCTCAGGAGTCCTTCTCGATAGCGGGAGATCGAGGTGGAAGGGATAGGCTCAAATCTGCTACCAAGTTTAAGCCTGCTTTACCTAGCTC